TCCAACCTTCGCGGGAAAGTTATTTTTTTCAAGCTAGATCTGCATCAAGTCTACAATCAAATTCCAGTCGCATCCGAAATCGTTCCGAAAACGGCTATTATCACGCCCTTTGGGCTGTTTAAATATAAATTTATGACATGCGGTCTTAGAAATACTAGTCAGATATTTCAGCGACAGATCTTTCGAGCACTCGGTGACTTGGAACTTGTGTTTGCATTCATTGACAATATTCTCATAGCGTCTTTAAAAGAGCACAAAACCTACTTACGCATCGTATTAGCGATTAAAAGAATTTCACTTACGCCTCAATATAGAAAAGTGCGAGTTCGGCAAGCAAGAATTAGAATTCTTCGTCTTATGATAAACAGCGGAGGGGCGCACTTTAACGCCAGCTGCGCCAGTACGGCCGTATGCCCTGACTTTCGGTCATGGAACTTAATCCAAGTGACCGGGGAGAAGGCTAAGTGCAATCGCGGGAGAGCTTAAGAATACGAGGAGAGGTTTTATTTGAAAGAAAGAAAAACTACCGGGGAGTTAATTTAATAATAATATAATATAATAAAAAACAAACTTGAGTGATACATTTTGAGAAAAAATAAATAAATACAATTTTGTCGAGTAAATTAAAAGGTAATACAATTTTTGGGATCTCAACTCTGAGTTATACACACGCTTTTATGAATGTGTGAGAGTGTGTATGTGTGTGCGTGCGTGTGTGTGTAAAGTATCGTGGCAGAATGAAAGAGTTACGGGGAGAATAGCGAGAGAAAAAAAAAGGAAAGAGGTTTTGGTGAGTGGATTTGAGAAGAAGAAAAAGGGGGGGTGCTATTGGTACAGGCTAGGATCATAGGGATTGAGGGAGAAAAGGTCGAGGGGGACGAGGGACGCTACTGGGACTGAGAAAAGGCCGTCGGATCCTCACGACGACCAAATCTTGGTTGGAGGGGGTGGAGTGTGTACTCTAAGAGTTCCTGGGCATCATGGAAAAGAAGGGGGAAGGGAGCAGCGGGAGAATAGCCATGGTGTGGGATTGAGAGGGTGGTATCTATCTGAGGAGGTGATGGTGGATGTGGGGGGAAATCAGCAGGGGGAATGGGGGATGGATTCGAAATTGGTGAATAAGAGATTTCGAGGGGTGGAGATAGAGTAGCTAAGGGGAATTGTATAAAGGGAATCGGTTCCGATACTGTCGGTTGGGTTTGGTGAGAAATCCGGGCGGGCGGCGAGTCGGCGCGATCGGGCGGTTCTCGTCAGGCGGCGGCGACGAGGGGCGAATGGACGGCGTAAACGCACTAAAAAATTTATGTTTTTAATGGGTCCCCAAAGAGAGAGAAAAAAAGGGGGGAAGACGTGGAGGGACCACTTGATGTAAATAATTGAAAACTTACTGGTGATGTAGGGCCCAACCGCAGAGAAGGTGGCGTCGGATGTTACGGTCAGTTACGGACTTCCCCGATCAGCTCTTTAATCCCGATGATACTATTGATCTCACTGACCCTATTAAACTTGAATAACGCGACCAACTCACTGACTTTATTGACTCTGAGTATTGCGACCGACTCACTGTCTTTATCGGGACAAGTAAAACTCCAAAACTCCGGTTAGAGAAAAATTTGCTGTCTATCTGATCTACCATCTATCTATAGATTTGCTATCTATCTGGTCTGCTATCTATCTGTTCTTCTATCTATCTGGTCTGCTATCTATCTGCTGCAAGGGTTGCGGAATCGCGATTTTTATATTAATCGCCCCAGATTACTCAAATTTGGATTGGTGGAATAGGTTTCGTTGGCTGGTAGTAGGATTTTCTTTTGCTCTTGGATTGGTCAAGATTTTGGGGGAGGAAAGGATGTTGACAGGAATCGGTAGAGTGGGAAAGTGAAACTCCAAAATTTTATGACCTTAAGATTTATGGGGAAACGTGCGTCTCGGGCGCCGAAAAGTCGCGGATGCATCGTCGCCACGGGACCACCCAGAATCTACCCCTGAACGTCGCGTGCCGTTTCTTAAATTTTATAATTACGAATTCGCGAGAATCGTTCGCGACTTGATCATTAATCTTGGCGTTAATCTGGCCGGTCTTACGCTTTCCATACATATTGATTTTTATCTCGGAGCGACATTCACGAGGAGATAACAGATTCTTAGTTTTTAGGCTAGAGAAAAAAAAGGAAGGAATATAAAATTTTAGTGCCTCTTCGAGGAATTCGAGATTTCTATGAAAGAAAAGAGTCGCGTGAGTCCGCCGGACGTAATATTGACCTAAATCGGATCATTCTAACTATGCTAAATAAAGCCTTCAATTTAATGCAAAAATAATAGATTTCTTTTTACTACACCTTATATTATTGCAACTGTGTCAACTCGAATATCGAATGATGCAGAATGCATTAGTCATAGCCACTAGATCACTTGACGTATCTTCGCGTATCATTTTATGAAGAACCTGGGATATATGACACTTTTAGATAGGGGATATATGGCAAAAGAAGTAATCACATGGTAAAATGTGTATCAGTCGAAATAAAATTAGCTTGAGCACAGAATGTTATGAGCAGCTTTCGGTAAGACGAGGAAACGAAACATATTTTCTGACTCCGCAAACGTATATATTAATACTCCACGGAACTCAGATTGTACCTGTAATTCTTTTGCATCTACCATGTACCTTTTGGGAGACTCACGATATAAAATTATGCCTAAGTCGATGGAGACATTACCACCCACCATTATGAAGTCTTCAACTAAATCGTTATGAAAATACATTAGTTCAGGAGCATCAACGACCAGTGGAATATATTTACAAACCGATTTAGAAGAATTCAAGGATCATGTAATGTTATCTGCAATCCTCAATACCATGGCATATTAAGGCGCTCAATAAATAGAAGATCACTCTCTAATCTCATAGACGAAGCATCGATAGAAAGAATCGCTATCTCCGCTTGGGAAAAATTTTGGAATAAATTTTTAATCTTTGGCAATATCAGCGCTGGATTAATCGGAATATACCTAATTGCTAGAGTTATCAAATTGCTACTAGACACATTCGTATGCACATGGATACGCTCTACACACTATGTACGGTTGATCGGTGTACCTATTGAGAGCCGTATGGGATTCACTTACTCAACTTTCATTTCATTTAGGAAGGAATAAAACTAAAGATGTAAACCCTAGCGCTCCAAATTTCGAATTACAGGAACATAACGAAACTGAGACTAAATTAGAACTTATTTATCCTTTCCTTCCCCCGAGGGAAAAATCCACCTATACTCTTGAATTAAAAGACTGAACAATTAAACGAAAAATCCGACACGTCACAAATTTTTTCTCCTCTCTCAATATATAGCGGTCTGCAACCGCACTCAAACCGAGCGTGGCGCAATTTCGTCGCGCATTCACAGCTAAGATTTTCTTATGCAATCGGATTACGGGTGACTTTAAACGAAACGCGACTTTAAAGAGAAATGCGTCTTCACACGGCCACTCTTAAGGGCAACACACAATCGCAAAACAATAGTTAGGCGCCAGGCATGAATGAGCGTGCCACTCTTTCTCGAAATTACGCGATATTTTCTCTATGCAATATTCTAACGAGCTGTGAACGGCGACGGGCTCTCAATCGGTAGCTCAGCCTCGGAAATGGCAGAGGGGGCGGTTCGTGGTTGAGGATAGAGGATCGTTTGGAGGAGCAAATAGTGACGACAATAAAGCACACAAGAATTAATAATAGCAAAATTAACAAGTATATTGAATAAGTCTTCGCCTTTCATTTACATCTGCCGACAAAATCGTAGCGATAAGATCGGATCAAATGCGATAGCGACTTCGCACCGGTCCCGAAGGCATTACTCGGTGCGTATCAATTTCGTTAAAATTCGGCGGCACGAGCTCACGCCACGTGAGGATACTTTCGTGAATTATGCGAACAATAATCCGCCGCTTCACCCGGCGATAGAATTTAAGAAGGGCTGTAACGTAAACACGGCATGACCTCGTGCGCGCTCGCGGGGCTTCGCAACGCTCGACCGAAGATCAGAGAAGGAAAAGAAAGCCTAAAACTTGACTCTACGCAACTTCGATATGATAGAATATGTGCAATTATTAAGTATTATAACACATCATCGTTAATTACTGTGATACAGAGTGCCGATACTCTAAGAAACATGCAAATCTTATGCTGCAAGATTCCGAAACGACAAGATACGCGCCAATATTACAGTACGAAACTACGACACGATACGATACAAAAACATGACACGCGACAAAAGCTTACAATAAATGACGAGGCTGTGGCCTTGGCGGACGCAGTAGAATTTCCCCGACTATGATTGACCGTCCCGGGAGGCGACACGTTTACCCAAATTCCACGGAAATCTAATGCACGGAAATGCCACGTGCGCTCACAATATGCCGGATAAAATTACGATAAGATTGCGCCTCCCGGATTTGGAAACCGGCGACTTTACAACCTGTAACGTTCGTCTCACCGTGACCTCCTGCTGATGCTCGTCCTGGTTGTCTCTCTATTGGCCCGCTCAGCTTCGATCTTTTCGCTAGGTCCTGCGTCCTTCTAACGTACGCTTTCTCAGCTGGCCACAGCACAAGTGCCGGGCGCTGATCCTCCCGGAGGCACGCAGGGCTCGTTATCCCCGCGAGGAGGCCTTATCGCGCCTTATTGGCACGTGGCTCCGCGGCTCTTCTAATCGCGGAAACCGCGTTTATTGTATCTGTTAAATGACGATATTTTTATTATATCTATATAATTTCATTACTAGTTTAGCTGGTTGTAATTGAAGTAGAGAATGAATAACACATTTACCACTTGAAGAAGTGGGTAACGTAGAAGATTCATAATCCAGAGATGCCAGAGGTTATCGAACTACAGTGCGTTTTTTAATATGAAGTAGTTAATTTCAAGTAGTTAATTTCAGGTATAATTATTATAAATGTGGAGGAGGAGGAGGAGGAAGAGAAAGAGGAGGAGAAAAAAGAGAAGATGAAGAAAAAGAAGGAGGTGGAGGTGAACGAGAAAAAGAACACGAAGAAGATAAGGGGACCTGTTGCGAAGATTTCAGTCGAATTTCCTGCGTTTCGCGTAATTTCTTTAGCTGCAAAAGCAATGCCGTCTTAATTTCCGTCATTTTTTTACTAGTATCGAGAAAGATGGTTTCGATTATATTGGTTGTCAGAGCATTAAGAGTGGTTTCGATGTTTATTCGCATCTACGATAAATCAAAAAGATATACGTAATATCAAAATATATAGATTTTTTAATATACAAAATATTTATCACACATTTTTTTCAAAAATTTGTAAAGAAATAAGAATATAATTTGAACATTTTAAATTTAGTCTCACGGTGTAGAACCAAATAATGAATTTGAAAGTTATCTTACCTGGTTGAAATCTTCCGAAAGTCGCGTCATCCTTTCCGACATTACGTGCAGCGTTTCCTTTTTGGAACGCATTGTTTCCACCAGATGATCAAATTTCTTTGTCGAAGAAGAAATCCTCCATAAAGGCGGAACGATCAATTTCTGTTGCAGTTTTTTGTAACCCTGTAAAAAAAAATTGATTATCAATTTTACTTAAAATAGACAGATGTTACAAGTAAGATATTTATATATAAGTAATAAAATAATATTTACGTACAGACATATATGTGTAATTAAAGTTATTTATAAAATTATTTCTGTGATTAAAAAACTTTTCCAAGTGCTAAGAATACCAAAGTATACCAAAGAATTTGTTCCATTTCAATATGTTAAGCATTATAGAAAAATTTGACTGTAATTCAATATAACTGCAGTGAGGAAATAAGAATATTCATTTTAAACAAATTATATAATATAAGAAACTTACGACATTTACGAGATGCAGCAATTTTTTTATCAGCCAAATGCTGATAGTGATCACCCATGTGATTATCGTACGGGTAATGTTTCTTCGTTGAAATACATGGGTGGGAGTGTCTCGAACCGTTGTTTGGGGTGCCTGGTGATTATGAGAGCCATTCCAGTGATATTCTGTCTAATTATTTGAAAATACAGAGAAAGAAATTCTAAATTATCATGAGAAAAAAAATTAAATTAGTAAAATTTTATATTATTAGAAAGAAATTTACAAAGGTTAAATAATAAAGAGCATACAGCCACAACTAAGATGTAAGTAAGTTATATATTATTTAAACAGAATTCATAACAATAGGTAGACGTTTCGGTCAAGATTTGACCCTCTTCAGTACAATAAATACGTTAAAAATTAAACTAAATACATAATTTGACTAATAACTATAAAGATAGATAATACATTTTATTATTTCCTTATTATACAGAATTGTTCGCCATCGATCTAAGTGATTGGAGATAAATTTAAAACTTAAAACATTAAACTAAATACAAAATTCGACCGATAATTATAACGATAGTCTGTACGAATTTTGTTATTTTCTTATTATATGGAATTGTTCGCAATCGATTGTTCGTAATTGGTTTACGATAAAAATTAATAGCAGTCACAATATATGGATAGAAAACTTTTTCAGTTGCAAAGGCTTTTATTACTTCTTTTTTCTTCAATATAAGTAATACTTCAATTAAATACAGACGAGCCACACACAAAGAGACACACAAATACCGAGTTCTATTGTGAAACAAAATTGATTCATTTAAGTTTGAGTTAATTATTATCATATTTTTAAAAAGCAATTAATATACAAATATGTTAAAGTTTAGATTTACCAACGAAAGTTATTCAAAGACTTTTTTCCTTGTTTTCCTTTTAGAACGAATTTGAACGAAAAAAAGGAAAAAAAAAAAGAAAAAAAGTTCGATATTATGTGTGAAAATTTGCTAATGTAGTGTATGTATATACATACGTATGTTCATTTCGTGTAAAACGATCTCGAAGACATAATATATAAAAGATAAAACAAAATTAAAAAACAAAATTTCGATTAGATTTAAAATAAAAATTTGAATTAGATTTAACGCATGTGTTATCTCTTATCAAAATATTGTATATTCTAATATAAGAATTTTATTGACTTTTGAAGATATTGTAACATTAAAGTTCCTAATTATCATGGTTGGGTAAGTTAATTTTTTTTGTTAACTAAGTTAAGTTAACAGCCTTGAAAATTTAACTTAATTAAAATATAAGTTAATCCATAATAAAATTAATTGAATTAAAAGTTAAGTTAATAAAAAAAGTTAAGTTAATTAAAAAGTTAAAAGTTAAATTTGATTCGAACGAACAATAAAAAAAAAAGTTTGAAGATTATTTTACATGATTTTTTTTCTTATAGCTTATTTATTAAAGAATTTGGTTATTTTTGTTCACAAATAACGATTATACAATATAAAATTACTAAATTATATACTCATTAGCATTGTATCTAGGATTGGCTTCAAAAAATTCGAATTAAAAGTTAATAGTTACTGATAAAATGTAACTAAATTAAGTTGAAATTAATTAACTTTTTAACTTAACTTTTATCTTTTTAACTTAGCATTACCTAACCCTGCTAATTATATTTAATTTCAATTATACCTTTTTTTCTAAAAAAAAATATACATATAATTTATACATATATAGAAGTTCTACATTACCGATTTTATATCTTCGACAAATCTCCAGGGTATGTCAGATAAAGACATCAAAGTAGGTAGAGGGAAAGCCTCTTCTTCTTGATCTAGTTCGAATCCTGCACAACAGTTTTCAACGTATTAAAAACATCAGTCACAGTCTTGGCTAGAAATTGATCCAAACAAGGCGCTACCGCGTCGGCTTTCTTGCCCGCGCTACTACTAGGTCGAAGAAAGTGACGCAGTTGTGGCGGACATTCGTTCGCCAATCGCGTACATAACGTTTTCAAATACATCTCCAGTTCGATCCGGCCACCCTCAGGCAATATCCGCCAATTCCGACATGATATTTGCTAATGATGGAATCTGGAATTTTGCGAGCATAATATAGTTATTAAATTTAAATTACAACTCTGAATTTATTTGTATCAATTTATTTTTATATAACTTTTTAAAATATTTTTCAGTTGTAAAAACCTTACTTCTTCTAAACTGATGTGCAATTGAACAAAATCAGCGTGTTGCCTTTTGATTATGGTTGTTTCGAATAAATCTACCTCATGTTGTTCGACATCATCAAACTGTATACAATAGTACAATTGCTGCGAGCCGTCCGTTGCAGTATGGAACTCAGTCCAAGGAATTGATAAATTCATAAATTGGCTTCCTTCATATATCACGTAGGATTTTTCTTCAACGTGTCTGAAATTTACAGGTTTATGTAGCAATGTAATTGAGATTAAATAGCATTACTAACAATAGTGTGTTTGCTGTAGATCTCTGTTGCAACAGATTTCTAAGCCTAGCGATAGTCGTAGCAAAATCTGTCAGCTCTTCGTATACCGGTGATATCTTATCTTCATCTAATTCCAGATCTGTATTAGTTATGCTTCCTCCCCATAGACCACTGTGCTCTGTAGAAAGACCTTCCAAACACAGAGTTGGTCTTTCTGCAGTTACCATTAAAACTGCATTCTTGTTTTCACTAGTAGTAGTTGCAGTTGGACTAGACTTAGATACAGATTTTGGTAATTGCTGTGGGATCACAGCCGCTGTCACGGATGTAATACCATCACTCAAAGCAACACTTATGGTACCCTAAAAAATTAAATTATTGTATGTTATCATTATTGTGTTTTATATATATATATATATATATATATATATTACTGTATGATAATGTTACTATTAGAATTTACATTGATATTTTGTTTAACTGGAGTAATGACACTATCAACTTTGTGTGACGGAGCTTCCAATAATATTAACATATTTTTAATCAACCAATCTGGGTAGCTTATTGTGTCTATTGTTATTAAAAGTCTCTTTGCTAAAATAGATAACAAAAGTTTGCATGGTAATGAACTAGTTAATTCCCATTGTAAAAACTCTTGTGCCAGAACAGTAACTAAACGATATAACATGTGCTCCAACGTCGACGTACTACGAGATCCAGGGTGTAAATATTTATAAGCTTCCTCCATGCTAGCTGCAGTACCCTTCTCAACTCTACGTAATACTCTGTGGAAATGTGGATATATACTGATATGAATAAATAATTAATTTTACTAGATTTGCAAAGATAATTCTTGAGATGAATGTATTTGTACTTATGATATTCCTTTAAGTGCAACAATAACACATTTGCCAATTTATTAATAACCTTTGTCTTATCTATGAGACTGGTTTTCCAAACAAGCCTGGTCAAGAACTTGCTTAATAAGTCCTGTGCTTCATCAGGGAATGATCTGTCATTACTTATATTCCTATACCACATTTCTACATACTTTGCATTAATCTCTCGTATTATTTCTGTTATGTTCAGCTTTTTTTTTCTTGTCAAAGGGTTTTCCTTACAGGTATCAAATGCTGTATCATTATTGCATGTAACAGTACCTTCTTGTACAGAATTCAAGTTCTTTTGGTTCTCACTTTGACTCTTGTAAATGACCTCTATACTTTTATCTTTGTTTACAGAAAATTCCGAACTTAACTGACTCACTAGTCTTTTGTATATCCACTTATTTATAAATCTTAAGGGAATCGGACTGTTGGCTTTTAGTGTAAGACGTAGCAAATAACAACTCAGCCATACAGATATAATTGTAATAAATACTGCCCAAGAGACAGAAATGTATATTGGCAGAGGTGTGAGATCTATCCACCCTTGTACAATCAAGGATAATATTGCAGCTGCTATACTAAAAATTAATAGTATTTGGTTCAACCAATTCATTGGTATAACTTTCTCCATTTTGTGCACTCTAATGCTTTCAATTAACAACAACTTAAGTGTCACATTTTGTGCTACAATAACCTGTCAAAAGAAAAGAGATATATTTAATTTATTTTCAGCTAATAGTGTTACACCATATAAAATCAGGTTATATAATTAAGAGATACACTTGCTTTCGAATTGGTAGAATTATGAAAAATTCCAAACTTATAGAGAAAATCTAAAACATTATATGAAAAATTCTAAAAAAACGTTTATCAAAGTTGAGCCTTTCAAATACTGTTCAATTATTTATCAACTTAATTATTTATATCAATAATTACCGATAATTTTAAAAAACGTATCACATATGTGTCTTCCCACTTCACACACACACAATTATTTACTTTATTGTCATTCTTAAAGTTCTCTTGTAGGTGATTAACCTCGCCATCAACTGGATTGCTCCGTTCAGGGATTACGTCGCGAGAAGATTGGTGTCATTGGCACTTGCACCTAGAGATCTTACAATTCCTCTAATAAAGTCCATACAAAAACGTAGGCCGTAACACGTAAGCAGTAAGCGAATTGGCCAATCACAGTAGAGACGATAATGCCAGTAGCGAATCCAATGTTATGATTTTCTTACTAATTACGTCTTATGGTCTTTTCTATGTGCTCCAGCTTAAGCGAATTGCCCAATCACGGTAGAGACCGTAAGATCAGAAGCGAACTTAGAACATATACACATGGAATGCTAATAGGACGCTCAAGCTGGAGCCAGGATAGGTGCGAGAGAGAAAGGTATAGTAGAATTAAAATTCGCAATGCGCATGCTCAATTTCGTTACGTGGTTCCATCCATTACGTCGTTCCACTCGAAACTATGGTTGGGTAACCGAAATACGGAACAGCGGAATAGATTGACGAACGCAATGACGGAACTGAGCATGCGCATTACGAATTTTAGTTTCACTATACCTTTCTCTCTCGCACTTATCTTGGCTTCAACCCAATGCATTGGCGGTATAGGCAACGAGCAATTCCATGTGTATATGTTCTAAGGAAGCGAATCCAATCTTATAATTTCGTAAGACCGTAAGACATTAATCAGTACGGATATCATAAGATTGGATTTGCTACTGACCTTACAGCCTTATCGTGATTGGGCAATTCGCTTACTGATTACGTCTTACGGCCTTACGTTTTTATATGTGCCATGGGCTTAAGAGTTAAGACGACAGACTTCTATACATACTACTAGACTGTTAACTTGTTTAAAAAAGTGACCATCAATTTTGATATAACATTATTCATATGCGTACTAGAACCGCCTCGCGCAACTCCGTGACGTGTATCTACACATGTACACACACCAGCACACTATTTTGACAGATTAACCTATTTAACAGTATTAAAATCACCAAATACTTATTTTCATAATCCAACTATTGTAAATTATTCTAATTTATAAGAAATTGAATAAGATCGCATCTTTTATACGTTAATATTCAATTGTCTTTCCAATATTTTTACCTTTTTACTTGAAATCTTTCTCTTCCAAAAAAAAAAAAACAAAATTTTTCGCTATAAGATCACATCACTTTCTCTTCAAAAGAAACAATATTTTTCGCTATCAGATCATACCACTTTCATAAGGTTATACGTTTAGCATCTGAGTTGATGCAAAATATAGCCATGCTACATTTCTGGGTATATCGTAATACATATGCAGAACTACTATACAATTTCGGGGTCTATTTCACATAAGCTTGTCCTAAAGAGTTAGGCCCTGCGCACAATAAAAGAAATAAGGAATTAGGAATAAAGAAAGAACGATTTTAACCTATCAGAAATCGGATGCATCGGAATATATTTCTGATAGATTAAAATCGTTTATTCTTTATTTCTAATTCCTTATTCCTTCTATTGTGCGCCTTAGTAGTTTAATAGCATCAGAAAGAAACATCAGAGAGGACATAATAACGACCTAAAACCTATACATATAGCACGATTATACAAACCAAATATCGATTTATCATCTTCAGCCTTAAAAAATGGACGATGTACCTTAAGAAAAGTGGATGTTGCTATGTAGTTCACATCCACTTTGTCAGAGGACAGTAATGCGCGGCAACATTTTATAATTACAGGCCGTCATGTCCTCTCTCAGGTTTCTCTCTGATAGTATATATAGGGTATGTTTGGGGAGACGCTATCAACGCTATCAACGCTATCAACGCAAATGTTACTAACGCTGTTCAATAGTGCGATAGTGATAGTGAGTTCCATGAACGATTTTTAGCGTTTACGACGTAGCACTGAATGTACCTGCTCTTCTTCGATGTAAATAATTTTTGATTCCAAGGTAATCTTCTTTTTTTTTTAAATTATACTGTACGGTATAAAATAGATTTAATATTTAAATTTAAAGTCCAATTTTTGTATTATTTATTTGCACATATTTATCATAATTTAAAGTTATGTTATCTGAGAGTATGTTTAAAAAGTTGCGTGATAAAAATAGCGTAATTTATTAATATCTGTATTTTAATGTATAAAAATCATAAAAATGGCGGGAACGGAACAGACAGGAAACCACAGGAAACTGAAATGGCAAAAAACAGTTCACTACCTTCACTACTACTAGCATTCATGAAACTCATAAACGCTAAAGCTACCCATGCACTACCTCAGATGCAAGAGCGTTGGTAATGCAAATTATGGCAGCAAACACTATCGACAATGACGTCACGGATGGCGTTCGTAGCGTTGGTAGGGAGCCTCCAATCAACATTAGCGTTCGATAGCGTTCGGTAGCGAACTCCCCAAAGTACTCAGAAGTACTAGAAGTCTGTGTTAAGACCATGGACGTACGAATATTTGAACGAAGCGTAAAGCTAGCTTACGAGCGAGGGGACCAAAATCCCCGCGGTGGAGGGGGGGGGGGCCATCCTGTCTGGCGACATTTTAGCGCTCTATTTGAAAATTGATATATGTATTATAATATTATTTGTATTCCCAGTGCATAAAAATAGGATTTTGTGTGAGACAAAGTTAATTCAACGGTTGTGTGTAATTAAAAATAAATTTCTGTTTATATTAAAAAAAGTAATAAATATATATACCCATTACTTCTTTTAACACACATAAACCGAAAATTATTTTCAATTACACACAGCCGTTAAATATTTACAAATCAAGTAATTAAAAAAGAGGCTATGAGCCAAGTTATTTTAATGCTAAATCAGAAATAATATAAATCTAAATTTTATATAATTAAATAAAATCATAATTAACGTTACAAAGAACCGGTAATTGCAAGTAGTAACAGTTAAGCATAAAATCCTAATAAAATCCAAAATTATATTAAATATTATTAATACAAAATATATAATAATATTTCGAATTTTATATCACTAATATTTTAACATATAACTATAGATATTATTAAAATTTTAATTTTTATACAACTTTAATTGTACTCATAATTATCGGTACGTTGTGTTATTGATAATGACCTTGTAGAAGTCGAAACGTTTATTCAATTATATGAAATTTAATTTCATATTATTTTCAAATTAACATTAAAATGATTTATTGGCTCGTAGTCTCTTTTTTATTATTTATTTTATATTGAATCTTTATTTTTATTGTATAGGTTATAAATATGTATCAATGAAAAGTTATTTCGACATTTTGCTCTTGAATAATTTCCTTAGTTTTTCTGTAGCTTTTATTGATACAACCGATTGCAATGTGGCATTGTTGACGTTTTATTTCAGAAAAATATAAAATTTTGTGTATGCGCAATATTAATTGCCTTCTATTTGCACACAAGTGAAACTGAGTCTAAAATAAAGTGAATATTATATATTCAGATTAATGACGTCATTATTTAGTTTGGTAAAAAGTTTATCACTTGACAACACAGACTTGAACTTGACTTTTAAAGTGAGTTTAAGAAACTCACTAAAGCACACGGTCTTGATCTTATGCAGATTACAGGCAAAAACTCAATTAAATCTCACTTGTCAGAATGTAAAAAGAACGCGTATTCAACTGAATTATGACATCATAAGTGAGAATTATTTGAAAATCGATGCAAATGGAAAGCAACTATTGTTCTCGTTACAGTATCCAGCAGCGATATCACACACAGGTTGCATAAAGCGGATGATGCATCATTTATCCTTGTTTAACATTCGGTGAATAACAAAAATAAATAATGCAGCATGTGAGAAACAGAACGTAGCCACAGTTACTTTATTATTTTATCGCCAAAAAGCAGCATCAGTGCGCCAGACAATATGGCGGCCCCCTCCTTCTTTAAATTCTTTACCCCCCGCTCCGTCCAGATATTCATACGTTTATGGTTAAGATATAAGAGCGGAAGGACGCCATTGCTGGGACATCGTTTACACAACTCACATGTACAGAGTACGTTACATGACTCACGTTTTTACTGACACGTACGTTTATACAAAGTCACGTTTTCACTAATGGCTTCTGCACACTGGACGCGGAAACACTTGCCGCGCGGCAAAATGTGATGCGATAGGTAATAAGCTTACAGCTCCTAATGTGTTTCTTGGTTAATTGCCGCGTGTCTTTTGCCGCGCGGTAAGCGTTTCCGCATCCAGTGTGCAGGAGCCATGACACATTGCACGGTCCCAGACATGGCGCTAACCAATCCCAAGAGCGAATCGCTGTTGTCTTGACTCTTGTTATAGTCACTCTAAAACTGATTTTTCATACACAGCACGCTGCGGCAGCATTGCTATTGATTAAAAATTTTATATGAAATGACGCATTTACGACGTAAAATAATTTTGTCGCATTTCATTGAAGTTCACCCGAACGAACAATAAACAGCAAAAAATTCAAAGCTGAGTAAATCTGCAATATTTAATTCTGCAATGGATATTCTAAATTTTAACTATTATAACTATTATAACTATTATAATTTTTAACTATTATAATTACCTGAAATGGTAGTTGTCCAAATTGTAACTGCACTAACAGTGGCCATATAATCACAAATTTTTTATCTTTTTAAGTTTTCATATTAATTTTCGAGCTAAGTAAATAAAAGACACATATATGAGATTAAAATTTAATACATATGCTATTGCCACAGTATATACAGCGCATGCGTGAAATAAGTAAATGCTTAAACACAATAGGTACAGACAATAAGCACAGACAACAGGGAATAACGAGTCATCCAATCAAAGCTCTGAGATATAATATCAAACTTACCAGAGATGTGTGTAAGTTCAATATTATATCCCAGTGTTTAAGTCTTAAGTTACCTAATGTTGCCACGGTTACCACCTAAACTTCTTTCTCTTTTCATCCTTTCTTCACTCTGTCAAAATTCCTCGCAAAATTCACTAAATTTATTTGCATCGCAATTCAACGAATTC